CCGCCGCCGCCGGCTCCCCAGCCTCAGCCCGCGCCTCAGCCCGGGGCCGCCGCGGCCCAGGCGGCCTCCTGGTATCTCAACCACAGCGGCGACCTGAACCATCTCCCGGGCCACACGTTCGCGGCCCAGCAGCAGACTTTCCCCAATGTCCGGGAAATGTTCAACTCTCACCGGCTGGGGATTGAGAACTCGGCCCTCGGGGAACCCCAGGTGAGCGGTAACGCGAGCTGTCAGCTACCTTACAGATCTACGCCGTCCCTCTATCGTCACGCCGCTCCCTATTCCTACGACTGCACGAAATACTGACCGGCTGCGGCCGCTCTGGCTTCGCCTCCCCTACGCGACCCTCTCAGACAGTCAGGCTGCAGAGAAGCAAAAAGAACCAAAACACGTCCACCAGCTTTTTCTCTGACCCGGGAGCAGAGCGCGCGCGCGCCGGCCTCAGCCCTCTGGGAAGCTGCAGGTAACTTTAATTCGCCGCCCCGTTTCTGAGATTCCCAAGAAGCCCCTATGAAGGGAGGCAGCCCAACAAATGAATATTGATTTTAAAATCCCCTTCCCTACCAGGATGTCTGTGCTCTCTGCTCCACTCGGGGTTTCCAAAATTAAGTTATGGACCAAATCCCATAGCGACCCAGTAATGACTCTCTGTAGAGACCCCCATAGGTTCATAGGTTTATGGGGTTCTCTATAGATTTTGTATGTGCTGTGTGTAATTTTAAATTTCTCTAACCGTGCTGTACAAATGTATGGATTTGTAATCAGGCTATTTTTTTGTTGTTGTTCAGAGCCATTAATATAATATTTAAAGTTGAGTTCACTGGATAATTTTTTCATTTTGCCCAACCATTGCTAACTGCCAAATTGAACACTCAAAAAAATCTATGTGGGGTTTTCCCCCCTGTACAATTATGAGATATAATTCTTCTCCCAGTTGTAGGTCTTTCACAAAACAAGAAAATAATTTATTTTTTGTTGGTGGTGGTGGAGAAAGAAGTCAAGTATCTGAATCTTTTTATTTACAAAGTGTGATGGTTTTGTATAGTAGATTCCTCCCTGAGCATTCCTAAAAGAAAAAAAAAAACTTAAAATTTTTTAACTTCACCTGTGTTTGTCTTATGTGGTCTTAATTGTTGTACTTACCTTAAAATAAACCCATGTTGTTTTTCCGCCCAAAAACCAGTGTGTTTGTGTTCTCACATTTTTAAAAAACAAAGCGTGTTTGCGAATCCACCTGTTTTGATTATTTTTGTTACTCAATAATCAGGTGGGTAAATGTGTAGACATATATACACAGATGATCACAGAGGAATGGGGGCTCTCCCCTATTGTCTTGTTCGTGACAGAAAAGGCTTTCGATTAATTCAAAATCTCACCCTGGCCGAGGCAGTTGAGAAACAGTCCTTGTTGGAAGCGGCTGCCTGAGGGACTGCTTGCCGTATGTCATTTGCTGTATTTCATTTTGCTAAATGCAGAAAAATATGCCAATTGTCAAAACAAACAGTGCCATTCCATTTGCATATCCAGCCATCCCCAATTTAGGAGAGGAGGAAAAACATTTTCCATGAGCTAACTACAAACCAGGGGGAGTCCTGCTTTCCCTGAATTTCCTAAAATGCGGACTTCCTTACCCAGTTTAATGGTTTTTGAGAGAAGAATTTGAACTGGGCCAGTGAAGTTCCAAAGGAGACTGAGTCTGTCGCGTTTAATGACCATCCCCGCGGTGGCCATATCAGGGGCAGATTTCAGACCTCTTTACTTCTCGAATTGATTTCTAAATCTTTACTCTATTGCAGTGAAAAATTGTAGAGCCTCAGAGCCCTTCAAAAATAATTTCCAGTGCCTTTAGAGTTCTAAATTCATCAACCTTTTAGAGACTTCAAATAATGAGATTATTTTTCTTTTCAATTTTGATAGCTCATTTTTTTTTATTTTTAATAGCAATTCAGCCTCTGTGAGAGGTGGCCAAGGGAAAATGGCTTTGTTATCTATTTCACTGGCTGAAACCCACAACTCCCCTGCTGGTCTCTGCGTGTGAATTTTGGGGCCAGAGCTACAAATTGGGAATGTTTCCCGCCCCAGCAGGTGAGCTGTACCTTGCCAAGGGCCAAGCTCCTTGTGAACGTAATATTTCAGGTGAGGATGATTTTCCAAAAGGTGATTTTCCTTAATCCAGTGGCGTTCAATGTAACCTGGGTGTTGTGTTGTTATTTTAAACATGGCATTTTCTCTCCGTTACGCTGAGATAGAATTGGGGGTATAATAATTTTCCGCATACGAGTGACACAGATTCTTTCAGTCTGTAGCCCCAGAGGTGGCATGTGGTTAAAACTTAAAGGCTGCATTTTATTCCTTTTCATAATGCGCAGGAACGGGGAGCCCTGGTGCTTGGTGCTGGACTTTCAGCAGGCCCCCAGGCCACAGTGTTTTGGTTGAGTGATCTGGACCAGCCAGCTACAGAGAGAGGGAGAGAGAGAGGGGAGAAGAGGAAGAGGGAGTGAGAGAGAGAAGGAGCGAGAGACCGAGACCCCCTTTCTGAGCTGCATAAAGAGGCAGCCCAGCTCCTTGCCCGGCTCCTTGCCCGGCTCCTTGCCTAACTCCTTGCCAGGCTCTGGCACTCTGGTTTCATTTTGCTCCCGTTCTCTTCATGCTGTTTGCCGCAGGAGGATAGGAGAGTATTTTAGCTGGCTTCTCCTCCTTTAGATATTTCAAAGAGTCCTCCCTGAAAGCTTGTCCTCATCTTAAGATTTGGAACTCAGACCAGGTCTGAGAGACACATTGAGAATAAAGGGAGAGAAATGGGGTGGAGCGGGGCTGAGAGACCCCACGCTGCGTCTGAAACCATCTGCCCTGGATCTTCTACCTTTGGGAAGGCTTCTTAAAGTCCCCACTGTGTGTGGGCCACTCACTGGAGTGGGTAGCTCGAGAAGTTTCCCCCTATCTGGTGGCAGTCATGGCGAGGGCCCCTTCCATTCCTTTGGGAATGTGGGCAACTTGGGGGAAATTGTGTTTGGGGGCTTTATCTAGTAAGGCAGAGTGGAGGGGTATGTCAGGCCAGGATGTGTTGGGTCACCCCCCCAGATCCCCTAGACTTCTGCAGTCTGAGGCCCTGATGGTCAGTGCCAGAAGGTTGACCATGTGCTGGGCGTGAGCTCAGAGCTGGCTCAGTCTGGCCTTCACAGCCCCGATGCAGACCTCAGGCCTTGGGGGTGGCCTCAGGGCATCTGTTGCTCCCCATTGAGTGGGAAGATCCCTCAGTGCAACACCTTGGGCAGCCATGGAGTCCGGGCACCGTCTGGGCTGCTTTGCTTGTCTTTGTGGCCACCCTGCGCATCTTTGTGCTGTGTGTCTGCTACCTGGGCGCAAAGACTATGTGCTTGGCTCAGATTCACTCGCTGCCCCTTCCTTCAGCCACTCCGTCCTTGGAAGGTCCAGGGCCTTTCAGGAAAAGGGGAAAGGAGGTCAGTGATGGAAGGGCCCAAAAGCTCGTTGCAGGCTACTTGGTCTCCTGGCCGGGGCAGCTCTGCGGTCCACGGGAACGCAGTTTGCATGAAGCCATGTCTGATAACCATGTTCCTTCCTGGCCCGATAAGATGCAGCTCAGCAGGTCTCAAAGATATTGCAAATAACATGGAAGCAACCCTAATACCAAGTCAGAAACCATTTCCCTCAAGGTTAAAATCCTGCTGCATCTCAGACTGGCCTTAGCTGGGTAGATGGTGTCTCTAAATAGCGTCCAGTTTTGACAGATACAGTCTGCTTCAAGAGACCCGTGGCTTCTGAACATCCCAAGATTCCCAGCCCCAGAGAGGTGGCAGCTGGAGTAGCCTCCACTTCTCGTAAGACTCGTAAGACTCGGAGAGATGCCTCAACCTCGCTGCTTTCAAGGAGAAGGGACTGCTGGTGTGTGACCCAGCCCCAGCCTCTGTCCCAAGGCTGGATTTGGTTCTATGGCTAGCTGGTCCTCCCTGCACTGGTTCAAGTGGCCTTTCCCCATAAACACCAATAATCAGTGGTGACTTGTATCCTTGAATTGCTGGGACTCTGGGCTAGGAGTTAGAAGACCACATCTTGCAGTGTAAACAAACCACTCCCCTTCTCCCCTGGGTCTTCTCATCTCTAACATGACCAGGTGAGTGTAAGGGCTTTGGGGACAGCCCGGCACTTTCCCTCCCAACATAGTTGGGGCTCCTGCCATGGTCCCCCAGTTATCCCCGTTCCCCCTCCCTGCTGGCAAGAAATGAAGATCCCACATTGGAGGGAAGAAAACACAGGGTCCTGGGAACTTCAGCACATGGCTCATAAATCTTTGGGGGTCCACATCCTCTCCTCTACCCTGAGACTGCCTGGGGGTTACCTCTGGGCCTGGGAGAGGCTTGTGAGCCGTACTCAAAGCACAGAGAGCATAGTTCCCAGGTCCCCCTTAAAAAATGAAAACTGAAAACAAACAAACAAAAAAAACAAAAATAAAACAACAAAGAGCCCTGGTGGCTGAGCTCCTGCCTCCTTGCTCCTCACTCCTCCCTAAACCCCAAAACTAGACGGGGTGTTGAGCAAGGTTGACCTGATGGGAATTTATTGATAACCATAAACCTGAGGTGGGTAGAGAGAGTAACACCAAGAAAAGACACCCTTGATTAATGTGTAGAACCAAGTTTCTTGTAGAATGTGCTTAGGTCTTGGAGGCTGTGCCTGGCACCTCGTGGAATGTTTGCCCGTGTCATCCCTGGACCATACACTCCTGACTGTGTGGTGGAAGTGGACAAGTAGAGATCTGAGGGTTTATGCTTTGGGGGCAGCCAGGCCAGGGATGGCTGGGGAGCTGGACTCCAGGTGAGCAGGGCACATTAGGCTGAGCGACCAGTGACTGCCTTCTGGCATCACATACTTTAAATGTTTTCCCAAACTTTGAGAAGCATTCCCCGCCTGCCTCTTTCATGCGTGGCCTCAGCTCACCAAGGTGTTTGAAATGTTTGCTTTTTGACATGGCATGTGAGGAAGGGGTGGAATGTTTTATGGAGCTTGGAAGACTGGGCTGCCGCAGCCAGGGACGGCCACTGCGCCTGGGAGGACGCCACCGCCTGGACTTGTGTAAGCCTTTCTCTCACTTTTGCGACATGCCTGCTGTGCAGCCAAGGCAGAGAGACGTAGTTTGTGTACAGTTTGATTTTTGAACGTGTCTTTCTGGTGCTATGCTTTTTTCCAGTGTCAGGCTTGTGGAGATTTTATCCTGGGGCTGTGAGGGTGTGAAAAGCTGAAGTGGAGGAAAGAGGGTGGGTTGACAGATCGACGAGCTTGCTGGCATTGAAGGTCCCTTTAAGTGACTAGAGTTGGGGAGCATTGGGAAGGAATCCCTCGCCTCCTCAGCCTGGGGTACAGCTTTGTGCTCAGTCTATGCCCACCCAGGCTGGAAGGTCATAGAGGCCAGAGAGTGCCCTCTGACCCCTGGCTCAATGGCCCTTGGCTCTGGGCCTTCCCTTTCCCAGCAGCCCCTCTGGGCTCTCTCTGCCTCTCTGTTATTTTTGCAGGCGGGCTCCCCAATGGAGCCTTTCCCTCTCAGCTGAATCCACATTCACCAGCTCAGGCCCTCTGCACAAGCCAGCCGAGGGTTTGTGTGACCTTGGGCAAGCTACCTCAAGCTCTCTGGGCTCATTTCTCAACTGAAAAATAACAGGATCATCCAATAAGGCCATTGTTAAGATAAATGAATCCAACACATGTTGGACTCACTTACTCCATAGTAAGGACTCACTGTTAGTTGGTAGGGTTTACCTGGGTAACAGAAGAGAAAGGAATCCTGGAACTCAACTGCTTATATCAGGCTAAACTGCTTGGGCAGAACAGTGCACATGCCCTAACTTCCCCTGTTTAGACCCTTTAAATCACTTCTAGGAACAAGGTGAGCTCTAAAGAAATCAGTGATTAGGAAACTCCTGCCCTGCTTTCTGGGCTTCATTCAGCATGAGGCGAATGGCCAAAGGTTCCCATCCACCCCCACCGCAGAGAAGCAGTAGAAGACCCTGCTCTACCCTCTTTTCATCCTTTCGAAGTAGGAGAGGAAAGGAGGGGAGGAGAACATCTTCTGGGTTTTGGTAGGAGGTAAGTGAGGACTCTGGGTTCCCTACTTATAATGCCTCAACTCTCCTAGCTCGTGGGGGGGGTGCCCCATACCTCTCCTCTCTAGAGGGCCTCATTCCCTTTACTTACTCCAGGCACATCTCGTTGAGTCTCTGTAACACCTGAGGTGGTCAGATCTCAGAGAACCCACCTTTGGAGGAAATTGTGTGCGTTCTGCTCACATTTCTGCTATTTACTGCCTCCGATGTCTTAGGGTGTTCTGTGCCCTGCCTCAGTTTCACTATCTGTAAAATGGGCAAGTCCCCCCTCTTTCATAGATTTTGTGAGGGCCCTCAAGAGAACTTCCACACGGCCCTTAGAGGCCGCATATAGCAGCTATTATAATGCGATTGTTTTTATGGTGTTATAACACTTCCCAGTGGGGGACCCGAGATGAGGTAACTTCCTGGCCTCAGTTTCCCAGTCTGCAGAATGGGAATGATAAAGATTTCTGTTTCTTAGGGTTGCTATGAGGATGGAATGACCTAACACAAGGAAAACACTTAGAACAGTGCCAGCACATAGTAGCCTCTAGTACATTTTACTTATTAATAGTATCCTTATTATCATCAACTTCTCCAATGTTTTTTAGGATGTCAGTGAGGTGACCTGGCTAAGTCCTGCTTATTTTTGCCCTCATTCTTCTCAAACATATTGCATATATGGTAGGATTATTGTTAACTGTTTTCACACTTATTAAGGAAAGTATATATTTGGAGAGATGACCCACATCATCATTAACTGTGCTTCTTTTATTTACTAGCAGAGCAAAGAAGGGTAGATGCTCCTGTTGGCGAGCAGGCAGTGATTAAAGCTCATCTCTCCCCTTCAGCCTCTTTTTTCAGAGGCCTCTTTGGTTCTGGCTGGTGCCTGGCCTCCGCCCAGCGTGCCCAAGGAAAAGGGTTACTCCCGAAAGGTTGGGGCTGGTAATGGTACCGTCTGCCCTCATCTCACGCTGAACCCGATTTCCGCTGGGGCCCCAGGGTTGGAAGCTCCGAGGTCCTTCCCGCAGCATCCGGCCATCTCAGGGCTTTCCTGCTGGCTGGTAGAAGAGCCCGCACTGACTTCAGAGATGAATGCGCTTTTCTGGGATCTGAAGACTTATGAACCTTCAGGGAACTTTCAATCTCTATCTGGCTCTCTGGGACACCCACGGCTGTCTCCCAGACTCGGCAGTCACCCTTTACCCCCGCCCCCGGACCTCCGCTCGGTCCTCACCCGGCAGAGCTTCCGCACGAGGGCGCATTGGCTCTGGGACGCTAGGGTCTTGTGCCATGCGATCCCCGGAAATAAGCCCCGGCGCGATCCTTCCTATCGCAGCTCCTCCTAGGCTCAAGTTTAAGTTTCAAAACTCTTCACCTGGGAGCCTAGGCTCCATCCCCGCGAGGGAGCGGGTTGGAGTGTCGGGCCGGAGCTTTACAACTGGAACCCCTGGGAGACGTTGCAAACTTCTGCAAATGCGCGGGGCTGGATGCGCCTCTCCAGACCGCGACTAGAACTTGGGTTTTCTTTTTTCTTAACCCCTACCCCCCACCCCGTTTACTATCAGTGCCCGCCCACTAGCCGCGCGTGTCTCCGCCCGCGTCCGGCCCATGCCCAAATTGGGTGGTGGTTATTACTGTATGAATCCAAGCCCGGATTTGCCTTTAGAGTTTAGAAGAAGCGTCGCTGCGGGTGTGCCCTTCGGGAAGAGGCAGGGATGTGCGCGCTGGACTCCGGGTGCCGCGAAGCACCAGGAAGGGCCCCGGGTGCAGAAATGGGAGGAGGTGCATAGTGACACCCGTTTCTCTCTTGCTCTGGGTCTGTTAGAGCGGGCGCTGAGGCCGGAGACCCAGCTGGATCCAAACTTGAGCTTGCTGGGGCGCGTTGGTCTGGAGAAGTTGGGGGATCCCCGGAGCTGTGAGGCCCGCGGGTTGCAAATGCGCAGGCATTAAGGCTCTTTTCTAACTCCAAGGTTGAAAGGGGTGCTCTGGTGAGAGCAAGAGATCCAGAGAGAGGACAGCGTCCCGCCCCCCTCCGGGCAAGAAGGCCATCCTCAAGACCTAGGCCCAGGTAGGCTGGGCTGAACAGTTGGCCTAAGTTAGAAATGCAGCGCCCTGGACGGAGGCCTGAAGGTGTCCCAGGGCCTAGCCTGGCGCTGCTGCCTCAAGCCGCGCCTGCACCCAAACTGGTTTTCCGACCCTGCTTGCGTATTTCAAACGTATTCGCTCCGCAGTGGGCTATCCGAAACCTCCAAACACTGGAGTTACCTTCTGGACTCCATTTTGGAGTGAGATTCTCCTGAGCCCTCTAAACCAATCTGCAGCAGTTGTCGCCTCTCTGCGACAGCAGCAGCGGCAGCCCCACCCCCACCCCACCCCAATGCACGCTTAGTGCTTCTCTTCCCATTCCCGCTGGGAACCAGGCTTGGGCCATTTCTACACCCACCTGCCTCCCCACCCCTCCTTCTCTTTGGCATCGCGACCGATTTACTCAATGAAAGCTAATTCAGTTATCCGGAGTGCTTTTTTTTTTTTTTTCTTTTAAAAAATATTCAGCAGAGATCGTAAACAGGAACTGGTCACGCTACATGTCCCCTCCCCCCGCAATGCAGTGGAGTGAGAGCAGAGACACCTCCTTCTGAATAGGCATCATCCAGGGTTTTTGATTCAAACCCTGACGTGGCTAAATGTAAAATAAGATGGGGGGGTTACTTGCACCCCAGGGTGAGTGGGTGGGTCGTCGGAGAGCAAGCAGGCTTTCCAAATGCTTAATGTAATCACGAGCCAGCTGTGTGCACTTGTAAAGTTGTTATAACCCCCCTCCTTGTTATAAACAGGAAAGCGCAGAATATAAAGCAAGAGACCCGCATTCACAAATACCAGCTCTCCCGCGCCAGCTGCCAAATTCCCCTTTTATGGCGTGTCTTGCTTGGAACCTCAGCGCCATCAGAAAGACTTTAGTTTCTCCCCCCATGAACTTTCCAATCGGGTTTATTCTGAAACTTTCCTGAACCGAGCTGTGGACCAGGTAACCCATGCCCTCTCCAGCTCCCCTGCGCCTGATGGGTTGGCTTCAGGAAAGGTTGGGCTCCTGGAGTCCTTTTCCCGGTGTCCCCAGGGAGCCCTGGAGGTCCGAGCTTGCTGCCTTTGGGATGCTAGGGCCCTGGCTAGTGCTCTGACTTCTTCGGGGCGTGTCCGAATCTTTCCAAGGACTGCATCCTTTTCTCAACAGACTCCCAAACCTCTTAGTTAGAGCTCGCCTCTCCCCCCAACAAATGTAAAGCTTTCAAAGACTTCAGAAGGCATTTTGCGAGACGGTGCCATCTCTACATCTCCTATTAAGCCTGGGAGAAGAAACCTTTTCGTGGGAGGCCCTGGTATTTCGGGGCTCCCTCAAGCCAGCGGTAAAACTCATCCCTGTTCCCTGCCCCCCACCATCTCCACCTCTCCTTCCTGGCCCGGCAGACCCCGCTCCCAGCCACCGAGGTCCACATCCTGCCTCGCTGACTGTGTGTGCTTACAGCGTCAAGGGGTGGACGTGATATTTCAAACATCAGATCAGTGCGTTTATATATTGGGTGCCCGGAAATTTTTCCAAATAAACACAGCTTGATTCAACTTGGGTGGGCGGACTTATCAACAGACTAATTCTATAAACAAATGAAGGAATAGCCCCGAAACCGATTGGCTGGTATCAAAAAGACACGTGGAGGGAAAAGCTTGGAGTTTTTCAGCAATGAAATTTTAATTAATGTGGGTGGGCTGAGAACACAACGACTGTTTATCATAGACAATTTATTTTCCAGCGCTAAGTCAACATATAATAGCAAACTTACAACAATTATTTAACATTTTTAAAGCCATGAAGAAGGGACAGAGCGCGGAGCGGCCGGGGAGAGCGGCAGAGTGGGAGGCAGACTTTCGGCGGGCTCCCCAGGAGGGCCCTTGCGGCGCAGGGCGCAGACCCTAAGCCTCCCGGTCGCCTGCGTCGCAGGGAGCGCAGCGCCGGCTCCCACTCGCCATGAGCCACCTCTTTGGTTCCCAGCTGCCTGCCCTGGCTGCCTCGCCCATGCTCTATCTGTACGGCCCCGAGAGACCCGGGCTGCCTCTGGCCTTCGCCCCCGCAGCCGCTCTTGCTGCCTCGGGCCGGGCGGAGCCCCCTCAGAAGCCGCCCTACAGCTACATTGCGCTCATAGCCATGGCAATCCAGGACGCGCCCGAGCAGAGGGTCACGCTCAACGGCATCTACCAGTTCATAATGGACCGCTTCCCCTTCTACCACGACAATCGGCAGGGCTGGCAGAACAGCATCCGCCACAACCTCTCCCTCAACGACTGCTTCGTCAAGGTGCCGCGCGAGAAAGGGAGGCCGGGCAAAGGCAGCTACTGGACGCTGGACCCTCGCTGCCTGGATATGTTCGAGAATGGCAACTACCGGCGCCGGAAAAGGAAGCCCAAGCCCGGCCCCGGGGCCTCGGAGGCCAAGCGGGCCCGTGCCGAGACGCACCAGCGCGGCGCTGAAGCGCAGCCCCAGGCGGGGAGCGGGGGAGGGCCTCCGGGCAGGCCTCCGGGCCCCGCGACCCCCAGCCGCGAGGGAGCGCCGGCACACCCATGGCCCCTCCCGGAAGGCTCTTCTACGCCGGCACCCTGCCTCTGGCCGGAGCCGGCGTCCCCAGAGGAGGCTGCGGGGGACGCCGTCCAGGGCGCAGCGGCGGTGGTCGTGGGCCAGCCAGCGCGCATGGTGGATGGTCCGGGGTCCCCTTTACGCCCTGTCTCTCGCAGCTCTCCGAAGGGCTCCGGCAAGTCCAAGAGCTTCAGCATAGACAGTATCCTGGCGGGACGACAGGTCCATAAGCCGGCTGAAGGGGCTGAGCTCCTGAGAGGCGCCAAGCAGGGGCCTGGCGGCTGTCTGGGTACCTCGCTTCTGGCCACCTCCACTAGCCTCCGTCCCCCGTTCAACGCTTCTCTGATGCTCGACCCACACGTCCAGGGCGGCTTTTACCAGCTCGGAATCCCTTTCCTTTCCTACTTCCCTCTGCAGCTCCCTGACACAGTGCTTCACTTCCAGTAAAGCGAACAGCGGCGCTGTTCTTTCCCTCGCCCTGGTCAGAGCTTCTCTCTCGTGAGCCGCCACGGCTCCCACCGCTGGTGGTAGGAGTCACTTTTTAAAGAATGATCTTTTCCTCGGCTGAGGTGTGGATCCTGGGAAATGCTTCCAACTTCTGCGCGCAGGTGGGCAAGCTCACCTGGCTCCTCCAAGGGGATCTCCCCAGAACCAGGAGCGGCTTGGGGTTGAAAAGACCCTGCCCAGCTGGGACTTCAGCATCTCAGACCTCTTACCGTGGGAGCAGGGGAATTCCTTGACCTTAGGTCAATCTAATGGCGGGATCTACAGCCACCCACTACAGGTCCTGTGTGTTTGGGGCACCCGAGGGCCCAGACAACCCAAGAGCAGGACAGACACATTGTGGTTGTTTCAATCTGAAAGCCACCATCTGACCTTTGCCGGCTGGATTGTCGCTGTGACTCAGGCCTTGGCTTTGACCCATCTGAGTGATGGGTGTTCACAGTCGAGGTGTGCCCCTCCCCCCCTCCACTCCCACCCTGGCGGATGACCCGTTTTTCAGGTTCTTTGGCAGATCTAGGGCCTGGTGAGGATTTATGACCGATGTCCAGGTGAAAGATGAGAAACTACACTTTTATTTTAAATAGAAAAATTTTCTCTTTTTTTCCTTTCTAGACAGTAAAAGGAACATGCTCTCTTCTTTCACTAAATACTTGACTCTTTTTACTATAAAAATTGCCCTGTGAGAACGTTTATATTAACAACTTCTGCTAAGAACGTGCACTCTATGTAATATAGCATTGTGTTACATTATTCTAGCTCATTAGTCGATACATATGTTCTCCAATGCATGTTACCAACGATAGCAGTCATCTTATCTTTTTGCTTTTGTTTTTAAGGGATCAAAGATTTCAGGGGAGGCCGGAGGTGTGTGAAGGGGAGGGAAGATGTCTCAGACAACACAGGATTTTCGATTTCCATGTTTGTTTTCGAGATCTAGAGTTGACTGTTGCTCCATTTTCCAGAATTGTGTAATGAAGGACTACTATTCATCAAAAGATGTCGGAGGAAACAAACACATGAAGAGAAGATACAGGGAGAGATGGGTTGGTGCTGGAAAGAGTAAGGGAATCTGCTGGTATCTACTGGAGGCTGCTCTCTGCACCCCCAAGCATATGAGGCATGGTGGGAGGATTCTTTCAGACATTCTCTGGTGACTGCATCCTAGTCTGCAACCCAGAACCCCCTCCTCACTCCAGCCCCTACCAAGCAGACCCAGAGCCTGCAGGTAAATAAACCCCCTATGGAGGTGACCAGAAGTCTGGTGGGAGGGGTGGGCCACATGGCAGGGGTCTGCAACAAAGATCTGGTTAAGAAAATTGAGATTTTCACAATCCTGTTCATCTTGGAACTTTTGGGAAATGCATCTAACCTCTTGGGGTTGTCTTAAGGGTTCTGAAACTTGATTTCCTGAACCACCGAGTTAATTTTATCTGATGCGGGAAAAGCACAATAAGTCATGAGTTCCTGGAGGTGGGCTGAGATAGGTCTTCAAAGTAACTTTTTAAATAGTTTCTAGGATTTACATAAAAATGAACACAAACTTTACAATGAGAAAGACGATTGGTTAATATGTTGGAAAGGACATTTAGGACAAGCATAATAATAATTACTAGGCACAGAGTTGACTTTCTGAGAATTCATCCTGAAAGCCATGTGCTACTGACTCATAAATGTTTCCTTGACAGCTTTCTATCAGGCTGGTGGGAACACTTTAGTGAGCTGCAGAGTGCCCTTGACTTTAAGAACTTTGATGACATCCCATCGCTGAGATCTAGGCTCACTCTGATTAACTTAAAACGTGGTGGAAGGGTTGTCATTGGCTATTTTGTTATCTCAAAGTCTCAGTGTCTGTGAATAAAGTTGTATTTTCATTAACCTCTCAATGACTGATTCAGTGGATTACTGGGGGGAATAAACAAACAGTGTAATAAGAGGATACTGGGATTATATTTGGGACCCGATCAGCATCTCGAGGGGGCTCTAGGAGCTGGAGCAGAAAAGCCCAGGACCAGTGGATACTGCCTGAATGTCAAAAAGTAAGATAAAAATTCTACTGTATAGGGTACATTTTGAATTTTTCCTGTGTGTGTGTGTGTGTGCGCACGCACACATGCACGTGTGTCGTGTGTGTGTGTGTGTGTGTATGTGTGTGTGTGTGTGTGTGTGTGTGTGTTTGATTTGCTATCTTGTATATTTTGTTAATTTATGATGGCTATTTTCTGGAGAAGCCAAAAATCAAATACTGCCATTTTAAAGGGATGGTATTTTAGAGTTACGGGTACAAAAGTATAATATAAACATTATTTTTATGTCACAGAAAAAAGGTAGAAGTGTGTATCTACTTTGTAAGAGGATTTATCCATACATAAAGAGAAATTCTAACAGATACAATTATATCCAAATTCATTCATACATTCATTTGGTTTAGGAAAACCAAGAGAAATTTTCTATGTGGGCCATTTTCTATGTGTTCTATACAATTTTATGTATATTTCTTCCTACTGAAGAGAAAGAGGAGCTTTGGGTCTTAGCAATCCAAATAGCCTTTTTAATGTTCCAGATTTAATCATGGTTCCAAATTAGGGATCATTGAGACCAAGAAATGGATTCTACTTTTAATTAAAACAATATTTAGGGTAAACCAGAAGTAACCATATTATTCTACTCTTAGGCAGTCTGAAGGTATGCTTCTGTGCTCTCATCTAAAAAAGTGAACAGATTCTGTTTTCTGTAAATGATGTTTGGTTCAAGTCCTGATCTTTCTCTGTCTCTGTCTCTCTCTGTCACGCACATGCACACACACACACACACACACACGAGTACAATGACCATAAGGGGGGATATGGGAGGTGTATGCATAATGATAAATATGTAATGTGTATGTATGTGGGTATGTATATACATGTATACATGCATGTATGTGCGTATACATATGTTTAGTTTACATGGATGCTCAGAAATTCGTCTTTTTTGCATATAGGTGGGACAGATAGTCTCAAATCTAGTGTTGCATTCTTTCAAAACAACCCAAGTATTGATACTTTGGGAAAGATTTTGTTTTTCTGTACAGCTTAAGCCAGGGATAATTTGGCTTTTGCACTATTATAGTGCAACTAACCAAGAGTTTATGAAAGAATCTTGGAAGACATACCAAAATGAGACCTTCATTTCCATGACTTTACAAAGATGAGAGAACTTTGCAAAGGCCTTCGCTTTGTCAGGCTTTGGATATTTGTGGGCTCTGGTAGAGGCTCATAGCCTCTGGGTCTCAAATGCCCCATAAAATTTTCTAGAACTTCAACAGGTCGTAGTTAGCCATTTTTGGATATAATTGTGTCTCTCTGAAAAGGAGGCCATTCGTGGTCTCTACCATTTCAGCAGAGTGGCCAGTGTATATCTATGTGTGGGTTAAAGCATTAACCACACATGATGTTATTGTTACAGCCGAAGACCAGGGCCCATCTGTATGGACATTGGAAGACTAATGTTAACATCACCAAAGCGGGTGACGTTTCCAGGAACCAGCTAGAGTGGGAGCCAGGACTTGGTGGACTTCCCATATACATGGAGTCTTGCTTCCACGAAGTTGGGCTTGTTTCATAGAGTTGAAAATATACATGATAATAAGCAAAGTTCATTATTAAAATTAAAGAGCATTAGTTTATTGGAAAAGTAATTCTCTTGATTCACCTTTTGAGCAGTTTTTCTAAAAATGCCTAAATAACCAAATGGCAAGTTCTCTACTATACTTGTCCTTACCTGGAGGCCTCAAAATTGGGGATCTGAGGATCAGGCAGATACCATAGATGTGTCCAGTGACCTAGAGTGGGGTGATAGGAAGTAGAAGGCCTGGGCTGAACTGGGGGGTATGTCTCTTCAATGGTGTCCAAATGCCAATTGCCCTGGGCTCATGGGTCAGATATGGATTGAAGCCCAGGGTCTATACCATGGTAGGCAGATGAGACAGAGCACGAAATATAGTTCTCCCCTGGGAGGTGGCTGGAGGGAGGGAGCTAGAGGACCTGTCATAAGTCCTGGGGGGACATAGTCAAGTCAAGTGTCTTTATTGACCCTGACAGTGAGGAGGGAGGGCAAGGGGAGGTGGCAGAGTGAAGATTTGGTGCCAGTGTCCTTTTTCCATCAGGCACAAGAATCAGGGTTCTGGCAGGAAACAGAAACCCACTTAGATGGGCCACTGGGAAAGACAAGGGTGTAGGGGCTAGTTATGGTGGGAGTGATTCAGGGGAGGGGAACACCCAGGGTGAATGTAGCCACAGGGCTGGCACAGGCTGGAGCCAAGAAGAAACAATCAGCCTCTCTCCTCTCCCTGCCTCCAGCCTCATGTTGATACCTCTGATTGGCTGAACCTGGAAGAAGTCAAGCCTATAGGGGGCCTAGATAATGCAGTCCACAGCGGTCAGCCTGCAGGGGAGAACAGGGACTGAGAACGCACCCAGCTGGAAGTGGGGCAGACAGAGGTGGTCAGAACACAGGGGCTAGTTGGTTGCAGCTGCCCTGACCACACAATTGATGTCCAAGAGCCCACACTAGGATATCTCAGAGAATACTGGTGTCTACATCTGGACTTCTAGGAGATTGGATGCTCCCATCTGGCAAGCTTCTAAGAGAAGGTGGCTCCAAACCCTAATCTGAGACCCTCTTAAGTGGGCAGGCTGAGCCTGCCCGTGGCCATACAGACTCTGCCTTCATAGCTTTGTACCTGGGAAGGTCTTGCTGAGTTGCCAGGGACTGTGAATGACTGACTGTACATGGATTTGTTATCAGTTTGTTGAGCACCTAAAACAAAGCTATCCCATACTCGGTGGTGTCCTGAATGTGGCTGATGCCACCTGACCCATCCAGAACACATGGACCACACACTGGTGAGTGTGTCCTCCAGCCCAAGTCCAGAGGAAGTAGGGTGCAAAGTTAGAAGAGTCTTGGCCTTGGGCAGCGTCTAAGTCAGACCCTCTTGGAAGGGTGAAGGGATGACACCCTGGTGTTCACAAGATCATGCCACCTTGTACAACAGGAACTTTAAGACATGACTCAGATCTTCATAATGTGCAATGTAAAATATTATAAATTCCAGCATCCGGGCATCACAAATCTTTCCCAGGTAGGTCACCATCTACTACTCTTTTCCAAGTCTCTGTAGACACACTCCTCTTGTTCATGACTTATTGATTCATTACCATGCAGCAATTTGATACTCAGGTGGGAGTGGGGAGGTGTACATTGACCTTGTTATATGTGTGGCCTTGGAGCCCACCAGACAGAGGCTAATGACCCAGCTCTCCTTTTACTTGCTGTGTGACATTGGTAAAGTAACTTAACTCTTCTGTGCCTTAACTTTCTCATCTGTATAAGTGGGGATAATATTAGTAACTGCCTCACTGAGCTATTGTAAGGAGTAAATTAAATGATAGGTATAAATTTATCGGACCGTGTCTGCCCCAGTTCTCATCCGTGAAATGGAGATAATCATGACTCCTCCTGTATAGGGCCATAGTCAGAATTAAATTAGTTAATATATACGAATACCTGGCACACAGAAAGCGTTCAGTAATGGGAGATCTTATCGCTGTATACAGACACAGCCTCTAATCTAAACACTTTTGTTTTAAGAGTGCATTTGTGACTTCTTAGTTTGGTAACAAAATCGTAAACCAACAACTCTTGCTCACGTTCTATAATTCTGGAGGTAACAGAAGACTCCTGGGGGCTGACTTCTTCAGTTCTCCCACCCCGAGTGGGCTGGTGTCCATTTTCATCTGTTCATTGCAGTGTTACAGCTCTTGAGATGATCCAACCATTTGAACACGAAACCAAAAGCAAAATAAGAAGCTACACATGGCAGGGGATCCTAGGAAAACCTCGGGAGAGTTGATTTTCACAGGCTGAAGAGAGCAAAGTCCCTTTGGTTTTTTGTTGCTTTTCCCAGGAGCTTAGAAGGGGCTCCCAGGGCTGGCCATCTAGGCATTGTGAAATCAAGAGCCTTGGGAATGAATAAAACTCCTTATTTATGCCCCCAATACCAAGACCATTCCTTTAGGCCAAGGAGAGTCTCCACCCCTCTCCTGGGGAGAAAGGGACCAAACTGGGGAGCAGTTTTTCCTAAACTCATGCTTTTCAAAGCCCGCCTTATAAAGTGTAAGGAACATTTCTTTAAATGTTGTGGCTAAATATAGCAGGGGCTTGGTCAGTTAGAACATTTTTAGAAAGCACATTACAAATCAGGAATGTTTTGGAGAAATAAACTTTCCCACATTTTTGGACTTCAAGTCGGCACTGGGGGCTCCATCTTGAGAGCATGATGGGGGTGGTGTGATGAATAATTCATGTTGAGCTCTCACTGGTGCCCTGAGTACACTCGAAGTGACTTCTCCTTTGCCTCAGTGAGTGTGAGGTTATAGGACAAGGATGCGGTGGGGCAGGGGGGAGACATTGTCAGGACAGCCCAGCGTCTGGTCTGAATAAGGGCCGCTCGATGACATGAGGAAATGGGGATTAAAGAGAAATAAATCTATATCTAGTCATTTCATTTTTTGTCTCTGCTGTTTGTTCTAGTGTCACTGGATTTACACCCAAGGTGAGAACAAACCCAGGAGGCCACGGTGCCCACTCCTCTGCTGCAGGATGACCTGGCTCTTGCCTACCCCCGGTACCCATGTCTTATCCCCAGGGACTCCCATTCGGTTGGCCTGTGGTGAGACTGGATGATGTGTTTCTAAAAGCTTCTCAGGAGAGTCTGCTCTGCAGTCAAAATTGAAAGCCATAGCAGTGAGGTCCCAAAGCCACCAAGTGGATTTGTAAGGGTCAAAGGAATGGTTTAAAGTTGTTCGTTGATCTTTTATTTTTTCTTTTCATCTATCCATATGTA